GCCTGTAGTTCAAGCTCAAGAGCCCAAAACCCACTTCTGACCTCAAAAGGCACCTGCCCTCTCTTGCACATACCTATCCACAGATGCACAATTTAAAAATAAAGAAAAATGTATGGGGTCAAAGTTTCTCTTAAGAAAAGAGTTTTCTTAATTAGCCTTTACTCCTATTTTGGTAAGTTCGTTCTGAGATCCCACTGTCTGTGACAGAGTCAAGGGGCCTGGTCCACACACGGTGTGTACCATCCACCAGTGCAAGGCTATCTAGCATTAGAGTGACAGTACAGGGGAGCCAGCAAGACTCTCAGCCAGTGAAGGCCAAGCCTACACCGGAGTTTGATCCCCGGGATGACTCCCACCCAATCTGTCTTTCTGACCTCTACATCGAACATGGCAGATGTCCATACACACACACAAACATGCACACAAATAAAATGAAAAGAAAACAGTGACAGTCTAGAAATGCATACTAATAAGCTGACTTCGATGTAGTAAGTACATGGGAGGCTGAGGTAGAAGTGATGCAAGTCAGAGGTCAGCCAGGGCTAATCAGTGAATTCCATAGCAGCCTGGAGTGCAGTGGCAGAGCCTGCCTCAAAAACCAACCGAGGGCTAGAGAGAAGGCTAGTGGCTAGGGGCACTTACTGCTCTTGCAGAGGACCTGAGTGTCATGTTGGGTGGCTCACAACCACCTATGACTTCAGCTCCAAGGAGATCAGTGCATGTACAAACTCAAACACACATATAATTAAAAGGGTTTTATCTTTAAAAAAAAAAAAAAAAGGCAAGCAGAAAATGGGCATGGTAGGAGAGACCGGTAATCCCAACACTTGGAAGGTAAAGGCAAGAGGATGATGAATTCAAAGCCATTACTGGCTACATGCATAGAAAGCTTGAGGCTAGCCTGGGATACATGAGACCCTGTCCCCACCCCCATCCAAAAAAACATATATGGAAATTGTAGGGGGAAGAAAACCAGTTACAAAACCATAAATAATTCCTTCCAAATTTTGTTAAAATTAAGGTCTGGGCTGGGAAGATGACTTAGTGTAAATAAAAGTTTTTCCTGTGCAAAATGAGGACCTGAGTTCAATTCCCCAGAACTTACATAAAAATGGGCATAAGTGCAGTGTTTGTAAACCTAGCATTGCTGGGCAGAGACACACAGCATCCCAAGAGCTCTTCAGTCAGATAACATGGCCAAAAGGCCTCTGGTTCAGTGGGAGACCCTGTCTCACAGCAATAAAAACAAAGAGAAATACCACAGACAACTGACATCTTCCTCTGGAATGTGCAGTCACGGGCTCTCCTATGCCTATATACAGGTATATGTGTGTATACCTGGCCTGAAGATATAGATATGGAAATGATAATATAGGTGATTCATATTTCCTGAGCTTATTTATTTGCTGTGCCCAATATCCCATATTTCTTATGTTGATTAGAACTTACTGAAACTGTACTATGTATTTTTTAAATTGCAAAAACATTAAAAAACTTTAAATTTATTACAGTTTCTTTTCTTTCTTTTTTAATGTCACCTTTAATCCCAGCAATTGGGAGGCAGAGGCAGGTAGATCTTGTGAGTTTGAGGCCAGCCTGATCTCCATCCCAGGCCAGCCAGGGCTAGAGAAACTGCCTCAAAAGCAATAAAAAAGAAGAAAAAAAAAACCCCAAAAACCCACAAAACAAAATCCTGCTTTTCAATTTATACCTCTTGTTACCCTTTGCCTCAAAGACAAAACAAGCAAAAGCTATCTCTGGTGGGTTTTTTGCCCTTACTTCTTAGTAGACGGCCTCATCCTCACCTGAGTTTTTACCAAGAGCCTATCTGACCTATGTAACCTTCCAGTTTCTGACTCCAATCAGACCTATTCCACTCTCACCCCTATGCAGTCAGCTACACAAAGCAGAACCCTTACTCTCTACTGTAAACTCTTTCATGGACTCCTTTCTATACTATGCTACCATATTTACCTTTTGTTTGCTTTAGGGAGCTTGAATTTGAGTTAGGCATATTTTACTGATAGGAATTTATATAGCTCAGGCTAACCTTGAACTTACTATGTAGCTAAAGATAGCCCAGATTCTGATCCTCCTGCCTCTGAGCACTGGGATTTCAGATGCAACCAACCATATTCATGTGTACCTTATTGATGTCTTTACATGAAATAACTCCACAAGAACAGGAATTCTGTTTCTAACTTGTAGTGGTGAAAACACCGCACCACCCTCAAAAATAAGACATAAGATGCAGCTATTTAACACACAGGAAAAGAGCCACCAAACATCACCTATCATTATTATACTTCAGCAGAGCATGAGCTCACATCTGTGATCTCAGCACTCAGGAGGCGAGGCTGGAGGACCACCAAAAGTTCAAAGCCAGCATGGCACACTGAGCAGGTTCCAGGCCAGCCAGGGCTGCGTGGTGAGACCTACTCTTAAAAGGGGGCAAAATACTATAATCCAGCAGAGTGGTGGGACACATTTTTAATCCCAGCACTTGGGAGGCAGAGGCAAACAGATCTCTGAGTTCGAGGCCAGCCTGGTCTTCAGAGTGAGTTCCAGGACAGCCAGGGCTACACAGAGAAACCCTGTCTCAGAAACAACAACAACAAAAACGCACTATAATCCAATCCACACTGTTACCTGAACATTACCCACAGTAAGACCTCAAATGATTTACTGACAGACTCAAGTGCAAATGGGAATATTTCCATTTCAGAACTGGAGAAGCAAAGATTAACTACATAACTACAAAGTTCACCAGGGATGCTAACCTTCAAAATGCAGGTCTAATTCTAAAGCCCTGAATGGATTCTGTACTAATATATAATTAATCTTTTGTTGAGAACTAACTTAATTTTTGTTTTACTGTTGGGAAAATAAAACCCAACCAAATAAAGCTTTTTTCTTTCCTGTAATTGTCCTGCAGTTAATTACAGTAGCCATTTACGTTTATGTACTGTGTGTCCCTGCACTCTCCGGACACAAGGCATGCCTGTGAAGGTCAGACAGAGCACAACTTATCGAAGTGGTTTTCTCCTTCCACTGTAGGGGTTCAGGGCACTGAACTCGGGTCCTCAAACCTGTAGGCAAGCGCCTTTCATGCTGAGCTACCTCGCAGGCCCCGGAATCTGCATTTTTAGGATTACTTGAGTGTTTCAATCTCGGCAATCCAATTCCTTTGCCTACATGAGATGTCCCTGAAATTCAAATGACCACAAAACTGCAACTCTTTAGTCCTGGTAGTACCGTTGTTCGTGGTACTATTCTTTTCACGGTTGATGAGTACGATTTTCTACCGAGCATGTCCTCTGAGGAATGAAAAACTGCAGTAAAAGAAACACTGGTCACCTCTATCTAGGCCTGAAGGAACTCAGCACGCCTTCACCAAGCATGTCAGCATTTTCTCCAGCATGCTTCTAATTCTGTTGCAGCGGAGCCGCTAAGGCTGGGAGACAAGCAGCCCCTTCCTTCGCGGCCGCGATCCTGGAAGCAGCAGGCCCACGCAGGGCCGCATTAGGTTCAAACGACAAACGACAACCGCCTCCCTGACCTTGACTAAGTTCGGGGTGACGTTCCCTGCCCGGGTAGGGACGGCTCGCACCCGGTCGCAAGCCACAGCTGCGGAGCATGCCAGCAGCTGCGAGGACGAAGGCCGCGGCGTCCC